CCTTCGCGGATGGCCCTGAGCTCCTGGCAGTCATTGGTGTTGTGTCTGTGCATGTTGTGGAAGACACAGAACGGGCGGCTGCTATTGGATGATTCCGGGTGGTCATAGTCGCACTTCATCTCGGGTTCGACTGCGAGCACAGCTAGCCCCTTGCGCTTCACATCCTTGGCATTGGCTTTCTTGTCTTCCGGGTCAGCCTCCGAAAGCTCCAGGAGGGAGAGGCGACCTTCCTCAGCCCTCGCACATTTGGTCGCCATGTTGAACATTTCCAGAGGCGTGCACAGGTCCTCGTGTATGGCGAGCTCTTCCTTCATCTTGACATCCCGGACGCCATCGGTGAACGCCGAGATGATGGCCCCGTCCGACACCTTGGGAATCTTGAGGCGAACGCTATAGAAGCGCTGGATGTATTTGTGCAAGGTCTCTCCTGGGTGCTGCTTGATGCGGCGCGGGTCACCCGCAGCCGGTAGGCGGTCGTGCCCTGGAAGTTGACGATGAAGCGCTCTCACATCTCATCCCAAGAGGAGATCGATCCCACCGGGAGGTTCAGGAGCCACGAACACGCGCCATCCTTGAGGGCCATGGGAAACCAGTTCGCCATGACCTTCTCATTGTCGTTGGCTGCCTCGATGCTCAGCTCGTAGAGCTGCAGGAACTGGGCAGGGTCGAAGGTGCCGTCGTAGCATGGAGGCAGGTCCGGCTTGAACTTCCCGAGCCAGAATACGCGACGCGGCTCCGAGGTGAACGCAAGGCAGCCCGCCGCGCTCACGGGAGACCGCCGCGGGAGGGGAACCAGGTCTTGGTGCTCGCGCGCCACCGCCTCGGGCAGCATGCGGTCTTGATGCGGCGGTGCTGAGAGCGCACGCGCCTTTCCTTGTGGCCTCTGCACCACTTGGCATCTTGCTTCATCGTGCGCGGGTGCCCTGTGCTACGGATCGCGTTGAGGAACCTCACGCCTTGGGTCGACGATGGCATCCTGCCTAGGAGGTGGAGGAGATGCTCCGTGGGCCGGAGGCAGCGAGCGAGATGGTGCGGAGGACTCTCCGACAGCGCTGACGAGCTCGGCGATGCGGTCTAGCCAGTCCTCGTAGAGGTCATCGACCGGGTGGTAGCGCAGAAGCTCACATGCCATGAGCAACGCTGCTTGCGCGTTCGCCGGGCCGCGACGAGCATGGGAAGACGAAGCAGCAGCCGGAGTCATCGACGGGGTGGCGGTGCGCCCATCTCGCCGCACAGAAGGATGCTGCGACGAAGCCTGCTGCTCATGGGCCGTGGGGCCGGTGGCGGCATTTGCCGCGGGTGATGGAGAATGACGGGGAGTGCCGTTGCCTGCAGGCGCTGTCTGAGCGATGCGGGCGGTGAGGGCGGCCCGACGCTTAGCACGAACTTGACGAGCTTCAGCCATGAGAGCGGCGGAGCCGTGGCGAATCGACTGAAGGAAGAGAGGCTCCGACGCACCCCTACCTGGCGCGCCAAATGTCGGATTCGGGGCTCCACAGACCCAAGAAAGATTCAAACTCTGGGATGCGTGCGAAGAACTCAACCTTCCCAGTCTGCCAACTCTACGATCTCACGGCCTAGCCCAACGAACTGGAAGGAAATGGGAGATAGCAGTTTACCCAGGTTTGGGCCACCTTGCGGTGTAAAACCCTACGCCTGCTTTGTGGTGGATTAGCCTCGAGGTGGGCTGAGGATGAACTAGTACAGTGGAAGAACAGCCTCAGGAGGTGTGTTCTTGTGCTGGTGTGGGTGAGGATGGTCTGAATATGATCTCCCCCTATGGTGGTGGCTAGGCTATATTTATAGTGGCATTGGTCCTCTGCCCAAAGAGAAGGCACGAAGGGATCCCACGACGGCCAAATTCGAAGGGAGACAATTAGTACATCTTATCCTAACGAAAGGTGGTCTTCGCCTGCAAAGCTTCTGGTCGTGACGTCGTGGTGGGTTCGGCGATGACCTCCGTCCTGCAGTCCTGGCAGTCTTGGTCTTGTTGCATGAAAATGGAAACCTTTGGTTGATGCCTCGGGACTCCGCGCCTGCGTTTGCCTCTTTAGCACCAAAGAGGAAACCCGCTATATTGTGTCCGCTGGCGCCCGCCTGGCCTCGTCATGGCTTGCGTCATCCGAACCTCACGGGGTGAGGGCCTGCATAGAAATCTCCGCTCCTCAGGAGCCAGCGTAAGGAGGCAGCCCCTTTTGAAGATCTTGGCGTCGTCCGCCTCGCGAGGCTTGGCCCCTCGTGAGGGTCTTGTGTTGTTGGTGCTAAAGGTGGGCCGTACCAGGCTGTCGATAGAGCCACGCCGTGGGCCGTAGGCAGGCAAGTCTGGGTACCCCGATTTCCAGGACGCCGACAGTAGCTAGCTAGCTCGGCCAACGGCGACACGCAGCTAGCTAGCGCGTAGGCAAGGGCGAGCATCCGATGAGCAACTACGTCCCAGCGCACCACCATGGAGGGTTGCACATGAGGCTTTGGCTGCGGATATGGAGGCGGACGTGCTTGGGGCTATGGATGACGAGTGTATCCAACGTGCCGGCATGCTCCTCCGCGCGCCCGGCCGGTGCTTTTGCAGGCCGCCATGCTCACCGTGCCGCGCCGTGCTCACCGTGCCTCACCTCACGCCCGGGCCCGGCCGGTACTGATACAGCCATCAGCCTCGCCTCGCCTCGCCTCCCTGCGCCCAGCCGTTGTAGTGCTGCACACCCTTGCCTCGCGCCCGACCTCAAGCAGCAAGAGCATGTGGTCACGGCCGTCAGGCGCCCCTCGTACGCGCTCGCGTGGGTGCAGCTCGTCTCGGCCATGGCCAACGTGCACCAGTATTTGCAAGCTCCCCTGTCTGCTACATGTTCGACGAAATGCCAGGATGGATATGCAAAAAATGCGTCCGCCTTCCGTTGGGCACACCGGCCAACCCAATTAAAAAACGGACACGGACGAATGGACGGACGATCCAAACGGACAAAAAGCTGACAAAATCAACTTCTGTTTGGGTCGGCCGGTTGGAGTTGCTCTGAAATCAGTTCAGTTGGCAACCCTATTCCAGGTGTACTTATATTGCCCAAAAGAATCCAAAATGATAACACTATGCAAACATGGAGTGCCGTAAAGCCTGCCAAAAAAGAGACTTGGTTGACTTGGAAATCAACGGAAACCTGAGCATATCATTATATGCATATTCTGTGACACCGGTCACGGTTACATGTCGATTTTGACTCTTCCAAAATGCCGTACTTTGGGTGGGTTTGGGCAACCCATGGGACAAAAATGACTGGTCCTTCTTCTATGCCTTCACGTCAATTTTGACTCTTCCAAAATGTCGTCCTTTGGGTGGGTTTGGGCAACCCATGGGACAAAGATGACTGGTCCTTCTTCTATGCCTTCACTACCATCACCATTGGCAATGGAGCTAGGGCCCTTTTCTGGGGTTTCCCCGTGGCTAGAAGGATATAGGCCGATGGACATTGCACCCCTAATTTTTAAGGCCTCCAAGAGAAAAAATTGGAAAGTAAAGGAGCCTTAAACAACGGCGTCTGGATCAACAAAATCAACATGATGACCCCCTTCACATCAGAGCACCTTCGCCGGTTCATCACGTTGTGGATTGCCCTTTGCAGAATTCACCTATTTGAGGCGGTCGAGGATGAGATCACTTGGAAGCACACTCAGGATGGGACCTACTCGGCATCTTCCACTTATAGGGTACACTTCTTGACCATCACCCGCACTCACATGTGCAAGACCGTTTGGAAAGCCTGGGCACCGTGAGAGTTAAATTTTTTGCCTGGCTCACCATCCAGGATAGGATCTGGACCTCCGTCCGGTTGGCCAAGAGAGGATGGCCAAACGGTGGGACCATGCCCGCTCTGTAGAAGAGCGTATGAATCTATCGAGCACCTTTTCTTCAAATGTCGCTTCTCGCTAAGGCTGTGGACCTTGTCAAGGATTGGCTTCAACTTTTCGACATCGACACCTCCGATTGGACAAATATACAGAGCATCGAAGATTGGTGGGTTGAGATGGCCACCACTCAAAGGGTTCACAAAGAGGATCATGCCTACTATCACCATGATGATTTCTAAGACGATTTTGGATGAGCGTAATGCACCGAGTGTTACGAAACAAGGCCACTCCTGCTTTGGTCCTGCTAGAAAACATCAAACGGGAGGCAAGGTTGTGGATGATTGCGGGTGCAAAATGTTTGGGGATAATTTTGCCGGGAGAGCAGTGGCCCGTGCTTGGGGTGGTTCCCCTTTTGTGGGAAGCATGTCACTTTGTTAAAATCTTGTTCTAACTCCTTGATTAATGAATGAGGCAAAAAAAATTGCCTCCGTTTCAAAAAAAATATATGTCGTCATTTTGGAAGTTTTCATGGGCATAGTCCACCATTTTTGGATTTTCAAGGAATTTTCATGTTTCGTGACCTCTAGGTCATGCTAAAGGCCGGGATTTTCTTCCTTCCAAAAATATCATCATTTCAGATGTTTTCGTGAGCTATTGGAAAACGGGGCAACACCCATCCCATGAGGCTCCAGGCTGCCAAGCTCTCCTCGGTTCAGGATTCTTCGAGAAAGCATGGGTTGGCTCGGAGACACGAGACCTTGTTTAGCTACGAAATGTGGTGATCACCCAATCAGTTGGCCCTCCATGCCTCCCTTCATTTGATTGCCCTCTCCCAATCCAAAATGCCTATTGGCGTTAAGACTTACTGTCGAAAGCAACACCCAAAAACACGAGCTTCTGCCACATGAGGCCAAGCATTCTGGCAGACATGTATTTCAAAAACATTGTCTTCCCTACATTTTCTAATCATTTTTTTTGTTCCACAAGTATTCCCATGAATCAGCCTCACTTTTGTGAAGACATGAGAATGATGCAGTACATTTGCCGCTGTAATTCGAACAGCCATCAGTAAGCCTGTTCCGCCGGCATAACAAGAAAATTACAGAATTTATAAATCTTAGGAAACTCGCTCGACAAGACAAGTTCTCACTTCCGAAATACTTCTACCATGGTCCTGCACACTAAAGTTCTAGCGCCGCCTACTAAAAACTGTACAGATGTAACACACATTGGTTCGGTAAACTCAAAATCGGCATACCCCTGGCTTCTCAGTACGGCAGAGCTTGAGCATCTCTTCGTACCTTGAAGGATAGACGAAGCCCCATAGCTGCATTGTACAGGAAAAAACAAGTTACATATCTGACTCGATGAATCAACACCCACATAAGATGGCAAGTTTTTTATGCCCTTCCCTTTGGTTTGCTCAAGATGCTACTTCTTGATGTGAGGCGATGTACGAACTGTGAACAACTATTTTTTGTTCTTCATTCTTATTACCATTGTTGTTGTGTAATGTAGGGTGCATATGCTTAAGTGCATAGAGAAAGCAGGATTTTTATCCTGTGTTTAGTAGCACAGAGCAGTAAATCTCATGCACATGGCCCTGAAAAAATCTACCATGATTTCCAGTTGGGCAATATAGCAGTTGCATATGTTAAGTTGAGTGAGATGGTGTGCAGGTGTGTGAGACAAGATTGTTGGACCAAATAATGTCTCATAGGTTCAGGGACAGAGGGCATGGAAAAAGACTTTCAAAGGGAATTATCAATTATACAAAGGGTGTATTTGCTATATTCATATTTTGTGCAGTATGGATGTAATTGCATTTGCTCAATGGGGATGGGGAGATAAAATAAAATGCTTCGTTATTGTAAGTACCTCAACGTCTTTAACTGCAAAGTCTGGAGAATGTGACAGACACTGGTTGTTAAAAGTCTCCGAATTTGAACTTGAACCACTCAAACTGCAGAGTACACAGAAAGGAAAAGGTTAACATTGACTTAGACCAACAAAGTAATACTACTAGTTTTTTCAAGGAATTAAGGATATGCTTAGAATCTTGTGGGAGGGATTACAGGTCTGAGTCTAGATAAAGTGCGAAATGACCTCCACCTCCTAGTGCCAAATAGTCAGCAGAGCACACAGTATAATACTTATTGGCACCTGCAATAGGCAACCATTTAGTATGTTAACAGAATGAGCCAGTGCATACAGACAATAAGATGGGACACATAACATCTGCTTTGAGATCAAGTAATTGCTGCTTTGGCACATGGCAAATGGTTCAAAATGCTCACATGTGCTCCAACTGGATCCGTCAGAACTTTAGTAAGATATGCTAACATAAGAATATAGGGAAATGTCACTTTTCTCCCCCCTAAATTTGGACACACCTAACTAAAAATTGAAGGTCTACTTAATCCCTTGATGCAGGATTGTAGCCATCCAAACGGCAGTTCAGTAATTCAGGGTTAGTCCATAGGCAGCGTACTGACACGTCATTGCCAGCCACAACCTATACGCCTATTTTCATTACATTCTTAATCAGAGAATACCTAGGGGAGGCAGAGACTTTTTTGCATTAATTGTGAGCAATATATCATTATGAATGGGAACTCAAGGAACAAAAATAACTATAGGCAGCACCTGTAATTATATGGACTAGAAAATAGATTGAAGAATATATGGTTTTTATTTGTAAAGCTGATGAAAATAGAAAGAAGTACAAATTACCTGTTGGCCGGTATATAGCAGGATCGCTGTGTAAATTAGTGAAAACAAAGCAGTTATTGGTACCCTGCAATACCCAATTTCCATCAGTACCAGTAGAAGGTGAATAGGTGACAATTAACAGAATGTGTAAATCCAACCTGATACTTCTTTGTGCTAGTTGGCTGTAATGGAGCCTCAACTAGACCACCAAAAATCGCCCCCTTTCTGTCCCCAACTACCTGTTACAGAACACACCGACAAATAAATAATAGAAAATTAGTAATTACCTCTTATGACAGCAAAATAAGTGTTTACGTAAGAGATATCACAAAGACTTGTAAGAAAGTCATTGTGAAAAACATTGCCCAAGGAAGAATTACTCTTTGGAATTACATAATATTGGTACAGTTGGCTACTTTCTTTAAGTACTGGTGAACTATAAGACACCAAACAAAACATACCAGGAGTGAGTAACCAGGGCACAGCAAACTCCTTCTATATAAAGTAGACAAAGATATTCCATGCCTCCATGTGCTGCAAAATTGTGAATCTATAATCATTACAGAGTAGTCGATATGTGCAACCATAGCATACAGGAGCAGGACAGATTCCGGACCTGTATAGCAAAACCCAGCTCCTTCCTTGGGCCAGAATAGGAAGAGAGGAATAAAGAGTGGATCGCATTGTTTCTGACAAAAGGACAGATGGCTCTGACATAGCTGGCATGTTGGTCAGGGAGTTAACTTCATTTGGTCCTTCGAGCTCCAATGCAGGTGCAGCTGATTCAGCATGACTCGCCACCTCTTTGTCAGTTTTAGGTTCCGAGTTTTGTTTGAAACCGCTCATCCTAGCCGCTTTATTAATGATTTTTCCAATGGAATGCTTCCCTCTGCTTAGCAAGCCTGTCTTTCCCTTGGTTGCCTTCCCAACTGGTGTTAAAGTTGGGTATCCCATTTCTTCACTCTGCTCGGGGATTATCTCCCTTGAATCGTTAAAAGAGCTAGACGGCGACAAAAATGAGATCATGAATGCTCTAAACGAAGATGTATCGGGGCCATCAGGGTTATCAGAATTATGGTCAGAATCTTTGTCGTCTTCTGATTTTTCTTGCTCTTCGTCCGCCTCCTATTGCAACCAAAGAGATTGAAATGCAAAGTTTCAGAAACATGGGATACCGACTGGAATGATCACTACTTGCTACTGTGAATCACATCATGAACATCACATGTAATTGCAGCTTGCTTCTTACAGCTAACAAACGGACCAATTCTTACAAATTCACAGAATGAATAAGGCTGGAGCAGGAATGATACGAAGCTCTGGAGCGTGTAGCCTCCGAAAGAACATTGGAGTGGAGGTGGAGCTATTCATTTCCTGAGATTTTGGGGGTGGTAGCAAGAAAACAGCAAAGTTCATTACTTCAGTGGAGTACTACACCATTTTAAAATGAGAGACGGGTTGCTATACTGCTAGTAAAAACATACACGTGCGCGAACGTTAGTATTGCAGCTGCAAGTATCATCACACATCCTAAAGAAACTAACTTCTTCCATAGTTAACAGTCAACACCGCATAGAAGTCGCATTCTTAACGGAACAATCAGAAGTATCATCACACATCCTAAAGAAACTAACTTCTTCTGGAGTTAACAGTCGACACTGCATAGAAGTTGCATTCCAGCAGAAAATGTCTAGAAAATCACCACTAGTTAACAGTCGACACTGCAAGATCAACCTGCTTCCTTGTGTAATTGTGCTCCTCAGCAACGCAGAACAGGCCAAGAGGACGGCAAAAGCTATATCTCTCTATCCTTGGGAATCTCCCAATTCCCCACCTGTAACTGTAACCCACCAGCGGAAGCATCTCCTACCCTAATCAGCGACGACCGACAGCTAATGTCCCTAAACCCCCCGCAATTGCACACCAAACCCTGCCAGGAGCACGTCAGAGGCCGGATCACCCGATTATTGGCGCGAATTGAGGAACGGGCGCGACGACCGAACACGGCGCTGGGCCGAACCGAGTCTAGCACAAGAGGACGCGGAGAGGGGGGAGGGGGAGGAGGGGGGGATCTGGGGTCTCACGGGGAGGTGGGAGGGCTCGCGCTCGGAGACGGGGTTGAGGATGACGGTGGTGAGGTCGGACACGAAGTGCGCCGCCTTGCTGCCGAGGGAGGACGGCAGGTACCCCATCCCCGCGCGCCCCGCGCCTATTCCTGGAGCGGCCGCTAAGTTTAGGCGGGGGGCGGCGCACCGCAGCTGCCTGGGTTGGGGATTCGCGCTCTTCTCGGAGGACTCGTGCTCTACCCGGGGGGGCGGTGAATGGGGAGACGCCGGCGAGAGAGAGAGAGTGGTTGCGGCGAGGAGGCTTGATTTGGACCTGCCTGCGGGTGCGGCTGCGCTTTTCTTTTGCCGTTAGGTGGTGAGCCGGTCCTGGATTGGAATTTTTTTGGCAGGATAGAGCTTCCTGTTGTTCGCCAAGAAGAAAAATCTCTACTCCTAATGTAATGTCTCAGTTGATAGTCTCCGTCAGTCAATTTTCGTCCCACTTTCCCTGGTTTTTTTTGGTACTTCATCCCACCTCCCACTTTCCACCGATCCCCCGCATTTTACCTCCCAACCGATAAAAAAAACATGAAGATACAACTACGGCCATCCTGAACCGCGCCGGTTCACAGATACAAAAAAGACCTAAAACAATCAATCATGGTTAACCTACGAAATGACGGGCTGATCGATCTGATCGTCTTGACCTCGATCCCATTATGAGGCGCGGTCATTCGTCCCCGCCCCTCAAACCCTTGGCCGCCGTCACAAACCCTGAAACCCTTGTCCGCCGCCACAAGCGCTCATACCGTAGGTCTCTTTCACACCCTGCAGTCTTATCCCGGCGACGACGCCGTCCGAGTGCAAAGACAGAAATATCTCACGTCCCCGATCCGTCGCTCTTCAGCGGAACTGCGTGCGATCCATTCGCCGCTGCGTGCGATCCATTCGCCGCTGCGTGCGATCCATTCGCCGCCGGCGTGGCGATTGCAAGATCAGGTGTGGCGTTTATATATTCCTACCTTTACAAATACTACTCTTACAAATCTGCATCTCTGATCGGTGCCGTGGCCGTACTGCCCAAAATCTGGCATTGTGATTTCGGTTCGGTACCGAGGTCATACTGTGCCATACCTCTTGCTCACATTTTATCAGCCCTAAATTATTGCAGATTGTGAATCATCTCATTGCAAGGAACTCAGTTTTCGTGCGTGGGCGGCCCTCGGCGATGGTGTCATCAGCAACAGCATCTGGAGGTTAGTTGGCACAAACAGAAGGTAGTTAAGACGCTTGAATCTAATTGGTGACATGCAAAGGTTAAGGTTTCTATGCCAACAGGAAATAGTCAATGTTTGTATGCATCTGGAGGTCAGATGGTTGAAAATTGATTGAGTGCGGCTACAGGCTGGATGAATAAAATCACTTCGAATGGGGAATAATGTCATCCTCCCATATGAAGCACCGTTTTGAATGGGAAATATAATCATTCATGAATGTTTGTCGAGGCCATACCTGTTTATCACTATTTGACAGCCCCAAATGCTTGCAGGTGGTGAATCATCCCATTGATGGTTTAAGTATATCCATCAAGTGGCAACAGGCATCGGGGACGGTGTCATCATCAGGAGCATCTGGCAAGCGCATCGAGTTTGCATCTCACAACTTCAGTGGATCTCCATTTTCCACCCTCGAAACAGCATCACATGCAAAAAGTGACACAAACATAAGGTAGTTAGAACACTTGAATCTAATAGGTTCCATGCAATAGTAAACAATCTTGGTTTCTATGCCATCAGTATATAGTCAATGGTCTTATGCCAATGTGAGCATCAGGTGGTTGAAATTGATTTAGTCCAACTACAAACCCTCCCATCAATGAAATAACATCATTCATCAATTTATATACGACTCCGTAACCAACACTTTTTTTTCCTCGTAGCATAAATCCATCTTACATAGCTAATATTAATGTCATAATTGTTTAGAGGCCATAATTGTTTTTGCATAGCTAATATTAATGTCCCATTAGAATTCACTTGCCTTTTCGAACAACTAGCAAAAACACCGTTTTTTTATATCTGGTCCAGTATTTGCTGCAGGATGATGCATGTTCAAATTGCAACACTATCACATAGATTGTTCTGGAAGCCACTTGACCTACCACTCTTAAGTCAATGCACACAACCTGTTCTGGTGCCAATTATATAGACTCATGCCATCTTACAATTTATTCTCATTGCCAATACAGCAGATAACTGTTGTATAGCATCTACAATCCCTATAATTTAAATCTAGGATCGCTACTATATTGTCAATGCACGAGCAGTTAAATGAGACCTCATCCTTACTTCACATAAAGCAGGTGTCTTTAATTGTCAGTTGTGTGTGATTTCATAGGTACACATGGGTAATTCAAGAAGCAGGCCGGTTGATCATCAACCAGAAGAGGACGATTCTACAGGTATGCTGCATTTCTATGAGAAAGTACTACACATGGGTTAACGAACATTCGCAAGCTTTTATTAACATGGTTTAAATCCCATTAAAAGCGTGATAACTGTTGAAGTTAATTCTACGGGCATGCTTTAACCTATCATAATCTGCTACGCATGAGTTCTGTGCACTTTTCATATTCACATGATTAATGCATAATGCTTTTCAGTCCTTACAAGATCTACAGTAGTTGAAGATAACAATGCAAGCATCTTAACCATAGCTCAAAGTGGTGTGGACAATTCAGCTACGGTTACAGGTATAGAGCTTGTGTGAATATTGTTGGGAATGTTGCCATGTAGATACTACATTTATATCATTGTCCTTATATTCATGTTGGTTGTCACCCTACAGATGGAGAGCATCAAGAGGATTCATTCACAGCTCCGAATACCAATGATTTGGATTTTAGTTTAAATGAATATGGTACTCCCTCAGCCTCATTACAAACGTCAATATTGGTATAACCATATGTTTGGAGTGTATATTTCATTGATTTTTGTTATTTACTGGGTATCACTATACAGATGGAACAAGTTCGCAACGGATTAAAGACCTTCATGATGGTTCATTGTTGGGTTCCAACCATCTAATTCTTGATTGTCACCCTACTATTGGTAACAACACATGCCTATTTAAAATTCTAATATTTAACTTAATGGAGTTCACTTTCATTAACAACATGTGCCTATTCTGATATATTGGTGGTCTACAAAGGGTGAACCTCCAAACGAATATATCAATGGTGGGACAAATCTATCAGGTATTCCCACGGATGCTTGTCTAACATCGATTATGACCTTATGTATAGATGTTGTGAGAAAGCATTATGGTCTTTCTGTTTTATATTTTTGACATGCTGCAGACGAAATCAGATGCGGGAATCAAAGTCATATATCAAAGGAATCTGGCAACACACAAATGCTTTCAGCTAAGGATATAAAAAAGATCCAAGACGTTGTGTTACAAATAGAGGATCAACAGCGCTGCTTGTCGAAATCTGGTAATTTGTTTAACTGCATGTTGATGGGAGGATTGTTAAGGCATTTAAGTAGTGGAGTTGTTTTCTTATATTTTGCTATATGCAATGGCTGTTTTTATTCACTAACTACCGTATGTTTAATATGCGTTGTAGACCATAAGGAACTTACAAAGCCTTGAGGCGGGAAACTTATCGCATTAGCAAAAAATAGGGTTTGAAAACACAACAAGTCGATGGCCAAAACGTTGAACGTCGTGCCCTAGGTGATATCACGAATGTTCGTCAACCTAAACTTGTGATCTCGGGTACATCAGGTAATCATTGTTTATCTATTTGTATGCGTGGCTTCCCCTTGGTATAACATAATATAATACTGACCTAACGTTCTGAATCAGATGACTTGAATGTCATAAAAGATAATGCTGCACTAACGGAAGAAGATCGCAAAAGAGCCCATAGAAACGCCCTGAGGAGAGCTTCTTATCGTAGGAAAAAAGAACTTGCTCTCGAAGAAGATAAACTCCACGCCATTAATTTGTCTGGTAAGAATCAAGTGTTCTAACCATTACCTGTATTATCTTCAAGTCATTTTTTACCAATTAATTTTTGTGTAACATTTATTAACCATGTTTAACCAGACAACGCAACTAGCTCTGCCTATACAACATTATTATCGCATCCTGATTCAGCAATTACTGCTACATCTACTGAGACATATGGTCTGGTTAACGACAATGATCAAAATGGTAATTGACTTGTTAATAATGGATTCATCAATGTGGAAATATTAATTTTTACTTTCTACATTTAAACTATGACCTCAATGACACCAGACATTGACGAGAATATACTTGAAGAAACATGTGTGGTAACCGAGGAAGATCGCAAGAGAGATCATGTAAATGCACTTAGGAGGGCAGCTTATCGTAGGAGAAAGGATAAGTTTGAAGCAAGTGAAAATCTACGGATGCTATCTAATTCAGGTAAATATTTATGTTATTAATTCAGGGCGTTTAATAATTGTCGTAGACACAACTTAATGTAGTTGATGCAAAAACCCTAGCGTCATATGCTTGATCTTAATGCAAATTAATCATTGTTGGGCCCGAAAGAATGTTCTGTTATTCATTTCTCACTAAAACAATATTTTCCAATGACAATAGTACCAACTCACTAATGATGCTTGCACACATTATTTTAAAAAAGCCACAGCTGATAGCCCTAACTATACAGACACATTCCACGCTGATGCAACATTACCCCCTCCGTCATTAGACGCCTCTGGTGTTACCCATGACAACGAGGGATCTAAGAGGATACAGAGAAACTCTCGTAGCCGAGCATGTTATCACAAGAAAAATGAAGAACTAACGGTTGATGATAGAGATGATTTGAATGAAAAGATACGAGGGAAGCGCGTGCAGCGCCGCAAAAGCAGGTCGGAGATTGAGAAGGGGCAGTCAAGTGCTCAAAGGAAGGCCTCTTATGCTAAAAGGAAAAACACCCCGTGCAAAGAATCTCTCGCACTCCCGCGTCCAGACATTACTAACTCAACAGCTGATAGTCTCGCAATCCCCCTCTCTCGGGCTGCCGACGATGATTCATCGGATGGCGACCCTCCCCCGGGCATGCAGAATTACGGTGTTTGCACCCCTGGTATGTAATCGATTTT